ATTTTAAGTACACAGATAGATCGGTTTTTTAATTCTAATGAAATAAAATTAAGTTTTAAGCGGCTAAAAAATCGAGTTGTTTTTTAATGAATTTTGTTTCCCGGCGGATTTTGCGGTTTTATGCATATAAAAAGTGCAATTTGTAAAATAGAGCGTTCATTTTTTTTTAATTTTGTTTGCAAACGGTCATGTACATTTTATTCTGCAAGAAATTCCCTTTTATATGGTCAAAAGTGCAAACAGCAGTCAGCAATAAAAAATCATTAAATATCAACGCAATTTTTTAGCCGCTTAAAACTTACACTTGTTTTCTTAGAATTAAAAAACCGATATATGTATTTGCGTAGGTACTCAAAATTTTTCTAAATATTCAGATTAAACAGGTCAAAATTTAGACGAAAGTTCGTTGAATTTTTCTAAGTTCTGTACAAAGCTTAAAAATTTGACTTGTATAGTTTTAATTAAAGCATGAAGCACATTTTTATAAAAGGATAATAAAAAAAATTTTATTGAAAAACATTGCAAATATTAAGCAAACAAGTAAGAAAGTTTAAGTTCGGGCGGAGCCGAACTTTAAATACCCGGCGGAAATATTAAATATATGTTTTTCACGTTTCCTACAGATACCGCTACATGGCAAGCCGGGGTGTATCAATTTTGAGTAAATTAGCGTCCTTAAATTTCGAAATATTGAAGTTTCAAGCATTTCTAAAATTTACCGTTCTATGTAAAGCGGCCGTAATTTTAGTCCGATTTCATTAATTTTCAACGCTTTGCTTTTATGTGGCAAGCACAATAACCATACCGAGTTTGGTACAAATTGGTAGAACGGTTACCGAGATACATATATGTGATTATTAGTAGGCGGTGCCACGCCCATTTTCCAAAATTTTATCATAATCGTATTTCTTGGTAAAGAATTGTTGCAAGCGTCAATTTTGAATAAATTAGCTTTAATATTTACTGATTTATCGGAGATTTTGTATTTCTCTAAATGACCCTTATATGGAATGTGGGCGTGGTTATTGTCCGATTTTAAAACTTTTCGGCCAGTTGGTATGCTGTACCAAGGCCAACAACTGTGCCAAGTCTGGAAGAAATCGGTGGAGTGGTTGCCAAGATATACACATGTAACCATAAGTGGGCGTGGCTACGCCCATTTTTCAAAAATTTATAATATTCTTATTTTTCGTCTAAAAATTATTGTAAATATCAATTTTGAGTGAATAATCATCAGTAATTACTAAAATATCGCAGTTTTCGTATTTCTGAAAATTATCGTTATATGGGAGGTAGGCGTGGTTATTGTCCGATATTGTTTTTGTCCTACGCCCGAAAGAAGTACATGTACCAAGTTTCGTTAAGATATCTTAATTTTTACTCGAGTTATCGTCTGCACAGACAGACGGACAGACGGTCGGACGGACAGACAGCCACCGCTTAATCGATTTCTCTTTTCATCCTGATCATTTATGTATACATTTGTCTATATCTATCTCGATTCGTTTTGCCTGTTACAAACAACCGTTATGTGAACAAAGTTATAATACCCTGTGCACAAGTGCGCTCGGGTATAAAAACACCATGCACTCACTTTTGATTGCCAGTCTATGCATGTACATATGTGTGTAAACTTTATGCCAAACTATCACTATTTTAAATTGTATTTGCATCTTCATAAAAGGAGAAGAAGATAAAAAATTTTACAAAAATTACAACAGAATTTCTACATTCCGACTTGAACTTTTCTAACGCTGTTAATTTTTCGTCCGCGAATAGTTTCCACTTTCAGTTTGCACCTTCTCTATCTATCTAAGTTCTCTGACATGGACAACAGCATCGGCACATGTTACATATGTACATTTGTTTAAACGTACATACGAACTGGTACACCTCGTTGCTGTGATCACGCCACTTGCTGCGGGATTTTCTCTTAAACCTTTTTGCGTGCTTCTGCTAAATTTCGGTGATTGAATCTTGTCACATTTCATCAACTTATCAAAAAAAAGATTTTTTTTTCTGGGTTTCAGCATGTCGACTGATGAGGATCTTTCTGCACTTAAACAACAGCGCAGTACTATGAAGCGCAACATCACTAATTTGAGGTCAAAAATTGAAAAAGAAAGTGCCTCTTCTGACTCCACAATTTTGGCAAGAACGATAGAATACAAGATTGCGCATTCCCGCAGAATGACATTTGTGGCAACGGGTAAACAAAGAATATGGCGAAGAACAATGAGTTGTGAATTTGCAGTGAGAAAACGTGTTTTCTTCTCGATTCACCAATTTCTCAAGCCATCTTTGAATATAGCAAATAAAGCACTACGTTAACAAAAAATATACAACCACTCTTGAAATGTGTTCAAAAGAATAGGCCTTATTAATTAACTATTTAGAATTTTTGTGTTTTTATTGCAGGTGCCGAAAAAGTGATAATATCTTGTCGCAGCGCATGTTTTCCTGCAGAAAGTGGTCGACGCTTGCTTACCTCCGATTTTAATTTGTAATTTGTGGTATTTGAACGTTTTCAACTTAACATGTCGTGTTTAAAAGTGGTCCGTAAAGTGCTTCATGCATATTACGCTGGTAACTAAATTTTATGGCTTCTCCTGCCGGCAGAACTCTACCCACTTTCTGGCCAAGGCGTCGTCGCGGGGAAACAAAAAAAAACTGCATTTGGGGGCTTTACCCCTACATCTGCTGCAATTCAACACACGACCTGACATTTTTTTTAAGTTTTTATTACAAATAAAACGTTTTTTACTTCAGAACGCACGAATTACTTCGATTTTTCACTTGAAAGTACGCAATACGTTTGCACTTGTTTCTAAACAAAAAGTTTGTTTACGTATTGCCATAAATGTCAAAGTCGGCAAAACCAATGTAGCGGTTTCGGGAATGCGCCACCTTCAGTTCATTTCACCATGCAATTTTGGAATGTCAACTACAAATCTTGGAGTCGTATTTCAAACAAGTGGCCATATTCAGACACTCATCGAAAAGATTTGCGCTACAGACAATGGTCGTGGAGACTTAGAAGAGGTCTTCATTCAACCAAATCTAAATTAGTGGGGTTTTTGCAGAAAGCACGTCGATCAAGTATGCCGGATGTAAGCTACTTCCAAAATACAACCAATCAGCAGCTCACAAGTCATCGCTTGCCCAAACTCCGTTTGCCGAAATTCGACGGCAAGTACACAGAATATTCACGTTTTATGCACACCTTTGAATCGCTTGTGCATGACGACGCTTCGTTGACCACAATTGATAAATTTAATTACTTGATGGACTGTTTGTCGGGACCTGCGCGAGCTGTGGCCGAACCATTTGAGGTTACGGAAAGTAATTATCCACGTGCACTTCAGCGATTAAAGGAACGCTTCGATAACAAAACGCTTATTTTCATACTAATCGATAATGTCGCTTCAATTAAGGGAGCCTTACTCTCATTAGGATCTGAGAAAAATATCATGGAAGCGCTATTAATTAACATAATTCTCACTAAACTAGATGCTGATTCGAAGCGGGCGTACGATGAAAAACAAGATTTCAAGGAGCTTCCATCATTTGAGAGTTGCTATACTCTTCTAAGTCATCGCTGCCAGTTGCTCGAAAGCTGGACTAAACAATCGAATATTGCTGAAGCTAACCATCAAACACGAAACAAGGAAAGGAAAGGGAACCATTAGAGTATTATGAATTAAATACGATCACCTACGGTACCGCATCTGCGCCTTTCTTGGCAATTCGAAGTTTGGTTTTCATTGCTGAGCATTATCGCGATAGCTTCCCGATCGGAGCTGAGATGTTGGAATCGGATTTCTACGTAGATGATTTACTCACGGGGGCTGATAGTGTAGACGACCTGCGTAAGCGAAAACTTGAACTCATCCAGATATTAGAAAAAGCAAAACTTCAACTTTCAAAATGGAACAGCAACTGCACCGATATATTTGAGTGCTCCAATGATGTGAACATTCAATTGATGGAAACCAATTACTGACACGTTTTGCTTCCAATATGATGATAAGCCTCCAGAACATATAACCAAACGATCAATTCTATCTACAACCGCGAAAATATTCGACTTACTTGGATTGTTAAGCCCCGTTGTCATACGATGCAAAATGCTACTGCAGTCTGTATGGATACACGGATTAGGATGGGATGATGAGCTACCAAAACCACTACAAGACACCTGGACAGACATTCGAAAAGACTTGGCGAATATCAATTCAATCACTACTCCAAGGTATGTACTAACATCATTAGCACACAAAGCAGAGGTACATGGGTTTGCGGATGCATCCGAGCGTGCGTATGGATGCTGCATTTATATCCGCAACATTGGTAATGAAGCACATGAGTCGCGCTTACTTGTCGCAAAGTCAAAGGTTGCACCAGTGAAAGCCCAATCACTGCCAAGACTGGAACTGTGCGCGGCACTGCTGTTAGTTCAAACTTGGAAAAAATTTAGAGTCAAGTTGGAACCTTATATTAGCAAGACGTATTTTTGGACCGATTCTACGACCGTTAGATAAAGATGCATTCCACAACCTTAAACTCTTTCGTAGCGAATAGGGTATCTGAAATTCAGTCAGTTTCTGACCTAGTCATCTGGCGTCATGTACCATCGAAATGCAATCCAGCGGACATCATATCCCGCGGTTGCAGTGCTTCCGAGCTACCAAGCACATTTTGGTTCAGTGGACCACAGTTTTTTAGCAGATGATATCAGTACGTGGCCTCAGCTTAGCATCGACGTGACTTTGCCGATCGAAGGACAACGAAAACGTATGCCAGCACTTTGTTGCTAAATTAGCATTCAATCTAAAATTGTTTTGGATATTGTAAACCGAAATTCTTCGTTTACACGAATCCTTCATATTATTTCATATATTCATCGTGTACTCAACAACATTCCAACCAATAGGCATTTGTCAACGACGCTTTATATTTTGTAGTTGCAGCCATACAACATGAATGTTTCTCCTCGGAAATTGTTGCTCTTCAAAAAGACAAACCCCTGAATCCATCGCTGCAAAAACTGTCGCCGTTCTTGGGTGAGTTGCAAATCTACAACAAACTCAAAGTGGTAGTCAGATAGGGCGGCCGACTATTGCGTGCTCCAATTCCGGTGGAAGCGAAATTCCCCCTCATGTTACCTAAGGATCATCGCTTTACATGGCTGTATATCCAACATCTGCACTACTCACACCTTCACGCAGGCCCAAAGGTCTTATTGGGGTTACTACGACAACGCATTTGGATCGTGAATGCTCGTGAAGTTGTGCGCAAAGTAGTGCGCAAATGCATACATTGTTTTAAATACCGGCCTAAGTTGTTGCAACAAATTATGGGAAACCTGCCTGCCGACCGCTTGAAGGCACAACTACCGTTCTTGATCTGCGGAGTTGGCTTTTGTGGCCCATTCGCCATCTCCTATCGTATCAGAAGCAAGGTACCGTATAAAACTTACGTTGCAATTTTCATATGTTTTTCTTCTAAAGCAGTGCACATGGAGTTAGTTTCTGACCTTTGCAGTGAAGCCTTCATTGGCTGCCTTAAGCGGTTTTTCAGCCGGCGAGGTATACCAAAGACTATCTATTGCGACAATGCTACCAATTTTGTAGGAGCAGGTAGGTTTTAAGCGAATGTAAAAGGAAGCTGATTATAGAGTACTCGTCAATCAAGGGCATCGATTTCCAGTTCATTCCACCTCGATCTCCTCACTTCGGCGGCCTATGGGAGGCGGCAGTAAAATCTGCCAAGCAGTTGTTCGTGAAGCATTTGTCGCAGGCTCGCTTAACATATGAAGAGCTCTTAACTGTTGTCACCGAGGCAGAAGGAATTCTCAACTCACGTCCATTGGCAGTCATGTCCGATGACCCAAACCTTACGCCATCTCACCTTCTCATTGGAACTTCAATGCAGTCAATACCTGAAGTCGCACCCGACGTCAATAAATTGTCTCACTTGTCAAGATGGCAGCGTATAACGAGTCTGAAACAACAATTTTGGCAACAGTGGCAGCGTGATTACATTCACGAATTACAGCAACGTTCCAAATGGTCGACGCCGCATAGCAATATTCACCTTGGACAACTCGTCATCGTACATGAAGATAATATGCCACCGCATAAGTGGTTATTAGCTCGTGTGGTCAACATTGTACCTGGCGCTGACGGAAAGGTACGCGTAGCGGATGTGAAAATATCTAGGGGAATCCTGCGTCGAGCAATACATAAATTGGCTCCCTTACCATCCAATAATTGAAAGTTCCTTCCAATGGGGGCAGAATGTTGAATCATAATATAGTTTATAACTTGCACTTGTTTTAGTATTTGTAATCTGGCAGCTTTGTTTTTATTCTCTGTAATTTCACCTCATCCTATGTATGCATATGTACTTATTGCTACTGAAATAAATTTACTCACTCGCGATCCAACTCTGGCAAGAGACAGAACTCGAATCTGACAACATTTTTACTTCAATTAAACAGATACTTCCTCCTCTCCTTCTCCTGGCGAGAGGCGTGGAAAACATCGTGTTCAATCCCATCACTGTGGACCTTGATCTTCCGCAGAACCGCCCATTTTTGACCCAGCTATGAACAAAGAACTCATAAGTTTTAACACACCGATTCCTCAGTGGACTGAATCTCCCCAACCACGTCCTTCTTCTACTGGAGTCTCACTAAATTCCTGTTCAACACCTTCATCTCAACCCTCCACCACATCTGAAGCCGTCTCCGATTGCGTCAACACCGTTCCGAAGGAAGTAGTCGTTGCTCCTTCCAAAAACTCCACAACTACATCTCAACCCCCTGCCACATCCGGAGCCATCGTTGCTCCTTCCAAAAATTTGACAGCTGTACCGCAACCCCCTACCACATCTGAAACCCGAGGGATTTAACCGTTGTCCCTTACAAAAAATCGGTCTTTGTATCTAGGTGTTCAAAAGATACCTCTGTCGATGATGTGAAGGGGTACTTAACTTCCAGGCTGATAGCAAATGAGTTGCATGTACGCAAGTTCAGATTCTCGTATGAAAGAAGCATTTCTTCTTTTAAAATAGACATATGCGAAGACTGCTTTGATAGAGTAATAAGCCCATCTTTTTGGCCAAGCGGTGCCTTCATTCGCGAATTTGAATTTAGATCTAGACCGCAAGGGCAAAATTTGGCTCAACTTCCGCCTTCAACCTCGGCATCAAAAAACTAATAACTAACTTCACCATTAGCATTTACTACCAAAATGTGAGAGGTTTGAACACAAAGCTATCAAGGTTACACTTTCAGTCCCACGATTTTGACTTCAAAATACTGGTGTTTATTGAAACCTGGCTCAAGCCGAATGTGTTCAACTCCCAAATTTTGTGTCCTAAGAATGAAGTGTTTCGAAACGACCGTTTAAATAAAAAAAGGTGGAGGCGTCTTAATAGCTGTCCAGACTGATCTTTTTTCTGAAGAAATTGAGTTCACTGACACCGATGAAGTTGAATTCCTCTGCGTTCGAATAAGATATCATTCTAATAGCGTTTATCTTGTTGCTGCTTATATACCACCTAAATCGAGACTTTCTGTTTATTTAAAACACTCCTCCTTACTGCTCTCTCTACATGCCATGGTGAAGCCCTCCGATACTGTTATTGTCCTGGGTGACTTCAATCTTGCGTGTGTTTCTTGGGATCTAATAGATGGTATTCTAGTACCAAATTCCTCTCGTGATCTCTTCAATCAATTTTTGAACGATCTTTCAGACCTTAGTCTTTACCAGATCAACTCTATTAGTAAGTTTCCAACGTCACAATAGCCCCTAGTTATTCTTTGATTACACCTGTTGACTCTCACCACCCACCACTAGAATCGTCCTTGATAAATTCATGCAACTCATGTTGCTTTACCAGTAAAAAATCAAGAGCGGAGCGTTACTCATTTAAAACAGCAGATTATAGTAAACTTAGGTTAGAGATATCGAAGATAACTTGGCCCAGTATGATGGGAATGCTGAAGACAGTGCCTTACATTTTAGCAATTCCTTACGCCATATTTTCAGTAAAATCATTCCTCTTGTTAAGGAAGCTAACGTAACGTCTAACGCTCAGTGGTTTGCTGGCGAATTAAAACGCTTAAAAAATCAAAAATCCAAAGCATTTAAGCTTTTTAAAAAATCTGGCTTGTCTTCTCACTACTCCGCGTACTCCATTATTAGGCATAAATACAATGTATTGAACAAAACGTGTTACAGTAATTATATTAACAGGGTTCGACTCAATATAGTTTCTAATCCCAAATCGTTTTACGCCTTTGTGAACACAAAGCGTAAGATCAACGGTTATCCCTCAACATTGAAGTTAAATGACTTAGTGACGAAAATATTATTGCCGATATGTTTGCTGATTTCTTCGAGTCAAACTACTCTGCCAGTTCTACATCTTCCCAACTAAATTCGAATCTATGTAGCTACCCACTCTTTCTGCCATCATTTGATTGCATCCGAATTCCATCGATATCTCCTGCGGACGTCCTCATTCATTTGAATTGTTTGAAAATTTCATATACAGCTGGCCCAGACGGTATACCCACAAGTGTTCTTAAAAGTGGTGCAGAGTATTTGTATAAGCCTCTGACAAATATTTTTAATGCTTCCCTAAAACAGGGTGTCTTCCCATCTTCCTGGAAGGATTCGTTTATCTTGCCAGTTTATAAAAATCGAAGTAGGACTAACATCGTAAACTATAGAGGAATTGCGAAGCTTTGCTTAAATGCATAATGTACGCTGATGATGTTAAGCTCTTTAAGTACACTAGTACTGCAGAAGATAGGGAGCATTTGCAAGCTGACCTAACCTGCATTTTCGAGTGGTGGGAAGCAAATTCTATGTCACTCAATTTGAAAAAGTGTAAATTCATGACCTTCTCTAGAAAATCGTTCTACCCAAATTCATATATGATATCTGACCACAATGTTGAGCAAGTGACCAATTTCATTGACTAGAGGATTGTTGGCTTTTCTTAAGCGCTGAGCCAAGGAGTTCAACGATCCTTAGGTCACTAAAGTTCTCTTTACCTCTCTAGTTAGACCGATTTTGGAGTATCCATCTATAGTATGGAATCCTAGTTATCGAATTCATAGTGACAGGCTCGAATCAGTGCAGAAACAGTTCTTGTTATTTTCCCTCAAAAATTTATGTTGGGACTCGTCTAAAAATCTCCCACCCTACAAGGATCGCCTGAAGCTTATAGATTTGCCGACGCTTCAGAGTCGTAGAGGGATGGTCAGTAGTCCCTTTTTACTGAGTGAGATAAATTTTTGTATTAATACAAGACCCACGAGACATTTTAAACCTGTTGTGTTGAGTATTTGAAAATCAAACTTTGAAATGCATGATGCTTTTCGGTGTTTATGCCAAGATTTTAACAAGCATTATGATTGCTTCGACACGTCTGAATCGCTTTTTGTAATAAGGAAAAGTTTGCTCAACAAGTTAACTAAATAAACTAATATCTGTAACCGTGAACGAAAAAATTACACAATATCAATGACTGCTTAGTACAATTGTAACGGCTTCGTATATTTTCGCGACCGCGTAGGACAATACGAGCAGGGATCGCGGAGCGGAAACTAGGACTTTCCGCCTGCCTCACATACAAAGTAATGACTACGGGAACATGGATCGGAAGCTCGGCCTTTCCGACCATGATCAACGGCCTGTAAACAGCGCGGAGCGGAAACTAGGTCTTTCCGCCCGCCGCACACAAAAGTAGACTGGAGACTAGGCCACGCCAGCTGCCCAAATTGCTATTGTAACATATCATTATTATCTTTACAAGTTAATATGTATAATTAGTTCACTCTATAATGTATCATACATACTTAAATATCTAAATCTTTTTATCTCAATTGTCTGTAAGAAAACATTTTTCTGTAGACTAAATAAATAAATAAATAAACAAATAATTAATTAATTAATACTTGCGCCGGGTATTTAATGTTCGGGCGAAGCCGACTTGTTTACTTGTTTATATTATATTCAGGTCAATCTACTAATTTTATTACTTCACTCTCATTTCAGATGTAAAAACATATACTTATACTTTGAACAATTTACTGAATTAAACATTTATAGCCTAACCATTCAATTCTGCACATTATCGAAGATTTTGTAACCGGAAAATTTTATTACGAAAAAATGTTAAAAGTTCTTGTCACCGCGATTCTAAGTACGTTGGTAACGCAGTTAAAATATTCAGCAATTCAGCTATGAAGAATTCTGGCATTGCATATTTCACGGGGCAATACTTTGTTACCAGCTTATGAGATAGTAACAAAATTTACCGGTTACCAGAGTACACAGAATGCGAAAAGGGTTTAAAAATTGACAGGAACTTTATTTACCGGTTACAAAATGTTTATTACCAGCGCAGAATAGACCTGTTATTCGTAAAAATAAAGTAGCTTCACAAAAAAAAATGTATGAAAACGTCAAGTTATAAAGGTTTTTAAACCTACTTTATTTTTCAGGCCATTAACCTTTTTATACATTTGTTTACAAAACACTATATGTACTAAGTTTTGTTAAGATCGGTCAAAGGGGTTTGTGAGATATACCAATTTTATGCCTTGACCCCTTATACGAAATTTAGCTTTTCTAGCTTTACTGGTAGTTGAATTCTATCACTCTTTGTATTTGCATGAGTGGAGTGGGCGTGCCACGCCTCAAATTTTTATATTATTTTTATTTCTTCTATTTATGTAGCATAATAAGCCTACACGCAAAACTTAAGTGACATATCTCGTTTCTAATAATTTATGCCAAAAAAGTGATTTCCAGACCATAGTGCATAGCTAAATTTGTTTATTGATGGGTATTTTTATTTTTATTTTTTAATATACATATACATATAAAAATACATATTTACTTTACTTAATAAACACATCCCAAAGTCAAAATTAAACATAGCCAGCAGGGTTGGATGAAAAGATTCATTCAATTAGCACTCAATTAAGCACTAATCAAACAATTAAGAATTGAAATTTTGTATGGTAAATCGAGCTTCATTAACGCCTTAATAGAGAAAGTTTCGCTACTTTAAAAGGTCATTAAGACCCAACCAACTGAAATTTTTACCTGAGAATTTTGGGACTGATTCCTTTTATTAGGGTGCCGCTACCTCTGAAAAGAATATGTCGGAAATCAAGCTGGTATATCTTTTGAGTTGAATAAATAAAACTTAATAGTACTTAATTATTATCTTTGATCGAAAAAATGAAAATCAAGTAATAATTTCCTTTGAGTGAAAAAAAAATCAAATATCAATTATTATTATTATCTTTAAATTTTATGGGTTAATTGCGAAAAATAGAAATCATTGTAAATTACAATAGGACGTACGAACACAAATACGTGAGTTTAGCTAAAATTGCTTTACGATGACTACAACTTGTTGATTTTTTGGTTATAATTTAAAAAAATAATGAATACACCGGCACACAATAAAGTGTGTGCTTTTAACCAGACCCACCTACCGACAGTCGTGTCTGGATATAGTGAACTAATTTTTGCATGGCCTGTTCACAGCATCCAGGTTGTTCACTATATTAAGGTTGACTTCTTTTGTTCAAAAACTTGTTTTATTTGCTCAAAATTCATGTTTGTTTATGTAAGTGCAACAGATCTTTGGAATAAATGTATACTTAGGAAAATATAAATGGACACATGAATGTTTATTGAAAGAATTCGCGAATAGATGTTTGCTTCATGCATGAGGAAGTTGACTTTTGGACCGCTTTTTCATGTAGAGTTCTCAATACTATTATGCCAGCGTAGTCAGTTTTTAATAGCTTCAGTGGCTTTTATAGGATTTCCGATCTGTCCTTCGCCTTGGTCATCATCACCAGCTGCTGCAGTATCCTCGGCATCTTTCTCTAAATCAATTGGTTCGTCGTCTTCGATTGTATTCCAATTTTATATATCATTTTCAGTGTAGGTTTCCTAAGACAATTAAAGTAAATAAAAACGAAATGGGCAGGTGAATGTCAATAGGGTCAATAAAATTACCTTCGGTATTACAACTTGCAGCAGACCCTGTATATCATCGATTTCTTTATATTTTTCCTGCAATATTTTTTGGCGAAGTAAGCTCAGAGGAACATCATCGTCTTCATCCTCGCTTTCATTTGGCTCTGTGGCATTGAAACATTCTAATAGAGGCTTCCAACTTTCGCTGTTACACTTGCCTTCAGCTGGTTCCAAGCAAGCATTAAAAATGATACAGCATCTTCAAAAGTTAAAGTTTTTAAAAATTTTGTGATGTCATCTTTTCCTACAACTAATAACAGCAGATGTTTTTTGTAGTACAGCTTAGTTAAGCGAATCACATTTTGATCCATAGGCTGAATAAAAGGCGTTAAATTTGGAGGCATATAAACCACGAATATTGAGCCATCAGCAGTTTTAAGTTCATCTTCTGGCGGATGGCTAGGGGCGTTATCAAGCAATAGGATAGCTTTGGTTGGTAAACCCTTTTGTAGCAAATAATTTTGAACCTAATAACAATTAAAAACGAAATAATACTCGGTAAAACTGTTAGGAATTTTAAATGTATTACTCATGAACGTGAGGGACGAAGCAATGGTGAAACCATTCTATGAAGATGTCTGCAGTTACACCATAAATTTCCGATTTTTTCAACAATTTCAGATTTTTGCTTCAACGAAAGGAATTTCCTCGCAGACATGATAACACTTGAAAATTATTTAAATGCTAAATTTATTAGCACACAAAAAATAAAAATAAAAACACGTAAAACAGCGCTCATTCACTCACAAGCGTTGGAACTCGACAAGAACCAAATAAACATTAGCATCAAATAGTAGCAGCGTTTTAGTAATAAACATAAAGTGATACATTTTAGGGAATAACCGCTTTCATTTCCGGTTAAATTTGGTATTTTTTGTCAATTTATGCTTGCCGTTGCTTTTAAAATTTTGTTCACTATTTAGAGGCTTTCGATTGTTCACTATTTAGAGTAAATATTCGGTGTTCACTATATCGGGCGTTCGCTATATAGAGACACGACTGTATTTCGACCCACTGAATCGGAATCTGAGGCCCGTTTGACTAGTACACCTCCTAAATTTCGACTTAATTACAATAATTGTGAAAAAATTGCAAAATATTCACAATTCAGATTCGGATTCAGTGGGTCGAAATACATGTCAGTAGGTAGGTCTGGTTAAAAGCACACACCACTTTTTTGTGACGATGTTGTTTTCCGTCCCTGAGTATAAAAATAGAAATTTACTCTCTATATAAAAAGTAGCTGCTGTACTTTTTGCAACGCATTCCACAAAATCTATTCCATTAATATATGTAAATTTTTTCCTCTTATTTATACAGAACAACCAAAAATGGTTTATTACCAATCAACCCCACTGGTGATTAAAACAGAAAAGCCTAGCCAAGCGCAGTTCTGCACTCCGCTACAAACAGTTACCACTTCTGAAACAATGACAAACCTCGAAACGGCAATCGTAACCCATAAACAACAGGAACATCAGTTGCAGCAAAGCACTACGAATGTATATAACCAGTATGGAAATGTCGCTATAACGCTGCAAGAACAACACGAATCTTCACCATTACCTCACACAAGTATTATACCTAGCAATACAACACAAACCTCCACAAAGAATCTTTCTACGAATCATGCATCAAATATTACTTTACATGCCAATATAAAATCGGAGCCTAACGCTGGTCTATATGGACGCCCCATATCGGAAATATCAACAAATTCCGAATCCACAGCGCTAGCTTTCCATAGTTGCATAACAGTCGCATCCAACGCTCAAACGGCAATAAGCCGCAAGCTAACTGTTAATAAGCCACAATTCAAATGCGAACAATGTGGAATGACCTTTGGTAGTAAATCGGCTCATACTTCTCATACCAAGTCTCATGCGAAAAGCACCGCATTGGTGGGTGGCGTTGCTATGCAGGCTGCAAGATTGGGTGAAACTACCGAGGCTGGTGTGCCAACGAGTATTCCGAAGACACCCGATATGGCTGGAGTCGCTGGGGGTGATCCATATCAGTGCAATGTTTGCCAAAAGACATTTGCAGTACCCGCAAGGCTGGTAAGTGGCTGCATTTTATGTACATAAATATCTGTGGTCGTCTGAAAGAACAACTCAAGTCTAGTTAGACCCATGACACAATAATTTAAAGGTAGTTTCTCTTCTTCTTAGCCACAATTGCACCCATTTTAGCTAAACTCACATATTCAGACAAAAAATAAATAATAATACTTTATTATTAAACAAAAAAATATATTAAAAATATATTTCGAGCATCGTATTTTAGCGAGCTTTTAGTGAATCATTTTCTAAAATTAAGTATAAAACGGATTATACATACATTTTACAATGCGCATAAGGAATGCATTTACTTACACTATATTTTTTTAGCATTATTTAGATGAGCCTCATATCTATATACATATATAGTACGCGAAGAGATTTTTTGTACAGCATAAAAGATCTGTACCGTTCGCCCGATTTTCAATAATGAGATGTCAAATTAAAGCGCTTGACCTGTAAATGTGTGAACTGGTTTTATTTTTCGAAAGGAACAATTGAATATAAACTATATAATAAGCAATGCCGTCATAACAGCACCGTTCGTTTGATTTTCCAAAATAAGGTGTCAAATTAAAACTCTTGGACTGCAGATATACAAAAAGGTTTTAGTTTTTTGAAAAGAGTTGCCACCTTTTAAAAAATTGCATTCAAATCATCTAAAAAAAATCCATTATTACAAAATGGGTATCAGTGGAAAGGGTTTTGAAAATATTTGTATTAACTTAACTTTAGGAGGGTTGCCACCTGTTTAAAAAATTAAATTCAATTTGAATTAAGAAAATTAATTAGGAGAAATATGTTTCCACATAAGGGCGCACAACGAAAGGGGCTTCAGAAGGTGCCCGTTTGAAAATATTTTGAAGAGGGTTGCCACCTTCTTGCAATGTCGAATTTAATTGACTTATCCAGAAGTTATATGAAATGTCAAAATAATGATGTGAAACAAAAGAATATTAAGAAGACTTTAGTTTGAACACATAAAATATTTTTGAGGTGTTGGAAGAGGGTTGCCACCTGTTTAAAAATTAATTTCAAATTATTAAATAAGTTAAATGAATTATTAAAATATGGGTATCAATCGAAGCTGGGTTGAAAATTTTTTATTTCTGAACTATATTTAGCGGAGATGCCACATATTTAATTAATATAACTCAACTTAATTCATCAGTTGATTAAAATTTGTATCGCAATGTTAGGCGAAGAATATTTAAGAATATCTTTGCGCGAAACTACTTTTCGAAAGGGCTGTCACCTGTTTAAAAAGTCGAATTTAACTATATCTATATATATAATACGCGAAAGGACTTTTTGTCCAGGTCATCAGATCTGAACCATTCGTTTGATTTTCAAAAATGAGGTACCAAATAAAAGGGCTTGATATGTAGATGTGCAGTAGGCTTTTACTTTTCCGGAAAGTATGGCCACCTTTTAAAAAATCAAGTTGAGATTATTTATAAATTAATACCATCATATCCCCATCCTTCGCTCGATTTTTAAAAGTGAGGTGTCAAATTAAAAGACTTGGTTGCAGATGCGCAATTAGGTTTTTTTTTTGAAAAGAGTTGCCGTACGTATCAGTCGAAATGGTTATTAAAAGCTTTGCTTCTTAACTGCTTTTAACAGGGAAATTACATAGGTTATTTACAAAATGTTCCCCCATAGGGGTCCATACTAAAGGAGTTTAAAAAGGTAGTAATTAGAGAATGTTTTGAAAAGGGTCACCACCTGCTTTCAAAACCGAATTTATTTATATGCAGTATTAAAATATGGGTGTTAAACGAAAGAGTGCTAAGAAATCTTCAGTTTAAACATCAGAATTTTGTTTGATGGTTTGAAGAGAGTTGCCAGCTGTTGAAAATTTTAAATTTAAATGAATTATTAAGTTTAATAAATTAAGTTAATAAAAAAGTTAAGTTAAATAAATTAGGATTTATATCTGAACTGTTTGGGAGAGTTGCCAGGTGATAAAAAAATTAAATTTAATTTAATTCTTCAGGTAATTAAATTATGTATCAAAGTATCAGACGAAAGAACTTTAAAGGATTTCAGTTTGAAAATGCTTCGCAGAAGGTTGCCACCTGTTTGAAAAGCCTAATTCAGATTTTACACAATTTTAATGAAATATTAAAATACGAGTGGCAAAAGAAACAGTTTTAATAAGACTTTAGTTTGAAAGGAAATATTTTTTGATAGGGTTGCCATCTATTCGATTTTTATTTTGATCGATAACGTTCGGTAATTGTGTTATCAGCTGTCTCGATGAAGTCAATTGGCCCCCTCGGAGCCGCGATTTCTCGCCCTTAGACTTTTTTGTGCCATGACGTGAAGGACCGATATTATGCGAACAATCTATTAACGATTCAGGCCTTTAAGGCGTATGTCAGGCATTTCTTACGATAGAGCCAGAAACCATCAACAAGGTCTTGGAGAACTGGGTTAACAGGATGCGCTACTGCGAAGACAGTCACATGATGAAATCGCGTTGCATAACTAATGGGAATATATGTTCTTTCGAATAAACCCATAATATACCGAAAAAATTAGTTTGAGTTAATTTTTATAAATAAATATTTTTTATTGTTATGGTCATCAGATCTTTAATATGAAGGTCATCAGATCAGCAATGTCATTCTAAATGTGCATTAAGGTTTTATTTTTTGAAGCTACGACCATTTTTAGCGGAGCACGGTGGCATGAATTTTGAGGAAATGAAAAACCGACGCCATTTGAGACCTCTCTTCGTTCAAAAAGGGATGGACGAATTTACTTGAAACATTTGCGATATTTATTAAGGTTTGTGAATAGTGTTGCCATCTGTTTAAAATATTAAACTCAATTTTTGGCGTCTTAACGCCATGCGGGTTCACTAGTATACACTATTACAAAGTTCATAGCTTTTATTTATTGTTATTTATTTATTTTATTTAAGAAGAAGAAGAATGCGAGAACTGGGAGATTTAAAGTATAAACAGAATCAAATCGCTGAGCGAACATCGTCGGAAGAAAGTTCGCAGTCAAAATTAAAATACACAGCGGTATACGAAGAAATTCGGCGAGAATAGATTTATTTTCAATTTTGCCGTTGCCGCTGGTCACAAAATCAGCAGTCAGTGGAAAATTAGCTTTGTTTCTCCACTTTTTCAGCAGATAAGTATAATTATCAGCAATAATCAGAATGGCGGGATGTTGGTAAACGAGAACAAGATGAAGTATCTCCTGTCATCAAATAAACAGTCAGCACATTCGCGCCTTGGCACCCACGTCACTGTTGACAGTTACAATTTCGAGAAAGTAGAGAATTTCGTTTACTTGGGAATCAGCATTAACACCGATAATAATGTCAGCATTGAAATCCAACGCAGAATCACTTTTACCAACAAGTGCTACTTTGGACTGAGTAGGCAATTCAGGAATAAAGTCCTCTCTCGACGTACGAAAACCACGCTCTATAAGTCACTCATCATGCCCGTGCTGGTATATGGCGCAGAAGCATGGACAATGACAACATCCGATGAGGCGGCTCTTGGAGTGTTTGAGAGAAAGATTTTGCGGAAGATTTACGGGCCTTTACGCGTTGGCGACGGCGAGTACCGCAGATGATGGAACGATGAGCTGTATGAGCTTTACAACGATATGGACATAGTGCAGCGAATTAAAATACAGCGGCTCCGCTGGCTTGGTCATGTCGTTCGAATGGACACCGACGCTCCAGCTCTGAAAGTATTCGACTCGGAACCCGCTGGTGGTAGCAGAGGAAGAGGTAGACCCCCACTGCGATGGAAAGATCAGGTGGAGAAGGACTTGGCTTCACTTGGCGTTTCCAATTGGCGTCAGTTGGCACAGAAGAGAAACGAATGGCGTGCTTTGCTGAACTCGGCCAAAACCGCTTAAGCGGTTACAGCGCCAAAAAAGAAGAAGAAGAATCAGAATGGCAAAGTTTGGCGATTCAACTTTTCGCGTTTGTACTTTATGACGCTTTTATCAACTTACTTTCTTGTTTGTCAAGACACCTTTGCTATAATCAAACTTTCTATAAAACCTAGTCTAGGCATCAACCTCGTCGGTAGATATCATATCAAAGAATAGCCGTCAGCGATTCGCCAACAGTTAGCGAGTGGCGAAACAAACTAACTCAATGAGGTGCACCCAAACTCGCTATCGTCCATCTTCGCTAGCTAGCTTTGTTGCTTTCACATGCAACATTTTTCGATAAGCGACCGGAACTCAAACATAGCAAGCAGAGAAGTGGCGAATCGATTTCGGCTTATATAATTATATTATTATATTATTATTATATATGAACTAGTTGTAAACTAACTCACAACTAGTATGAACCACATGCCCAACTAGTCAGCCAACTGTCTTTTTTTCCTTGCAATCAACTGGTATTTTTAACATGCGGATGTCCTTCGAGATGGCAATTGTCAGATTTCGGTCAGAAATATACCAGTCTCATAGTCTCTAGTTCAAAATAGACAGAAAAATACTAGTTCAATTAGGGACCAAAACCACTATTTTGGGAGTCACAAAATAATATGAATTCAAGAATATACAATAAAACACGTTTGATTAAGTACACTTTAATATATTACACATTTTTATTTAGCAGCCTTAGATTTGCCAATAATAAGTGTTAAATTTTTTGAGTATTAATTAAAAGGAAAAACAAATACATAAATATTTCAAACTTTCGAACATAAATGTAAATGCATTTTCATTAAGTGTTATTAAAAGTTAAAGTTTTCAGGTACAATAAATGCGTTATTTTTATCTTTTTTAAAAATATTGAATATCCAAAAGAAAACATTTTTCATTTTTGAGTGAACTAACATAAAAATAAAAGTTTTCATTAAAATAAATTAAATTCATTAACTTTGCACATTTCAGTCTTTTCTTTTTAAAATTTTACAAAGTAATCATTAATGTTTAAATTTGAGATTTGGATAAGAATACAATAAATAAATAATTCAAGCAGTTATTAAATATTCTTAATTTTT